ATTGACAGGTAAGAAACATTACCAGATCTAAAAATGCGTCGTGGCCGCACAGTGTCCCATCCACCTCAGTTGAGAGCAGTGTGTTAGTTTACCTGCAGTTCGTGCAGTGACATGCACTGACGTGGGGGCGCTAATACATCCTCAATTTGGAGTTAACAACACACTTGCTACGCATTTGAGTAGAAATATACGTCTTCTCCCGTTGGAATTATCTAAATTGATGCATTAAAAAAAATGTATCACTGTTGCAAATATTCATGAGATTTATACTGGGGCACGTGCCCCAGTAAATGGGATCTGGCGACACTGATGCCACCAGTGGACACCACCCACCATGTATGGCAAGTGGGTGGTTCAATGAGTGCAAGAATTGTTAGACAGTTTTGTGTTTAAATTGAGCCTTTAAGTTAAATGAGGGCAGCTGTTTGTTACTGTTTAAGCTAAGTTAAGTTAAAAAAAAAAAAAAAAAAACTTGAGAAGTAATGCTTTAATTGCCTTATCCACTGTGCTAAAAAACAAAAAACATGTATTTGTGCTACCTCTATTAGTCAAGAGTAATTTGTTGGGTACACATAGAAGTTAAGTTGGTAATTTAGCTTATCGCTAGTTTAAGAGTTTGGAATAAGTCATAGCCTGATATATGTTTAATGGGTGTTAGTCATGCCTTTTGAGGATTTATTTCCCTCTACTGTAACATATGCAAGTTAATCCAGCAGACTGCTATATGTTTGCATTCACACTGAGAAGCTACACTTTTTGCTGATGCCCTACATGCAATGGACTGCTAGTTATAATGAATTCTCCAAAATGGACTGAAACAAATGAGGACTTTATGTATATATGAGCTGGTGTATGTTTGTGCTGGAGTGGAACTCTGTCAAAATTGGCATTGAAGATATATATACACATATTTAAGCTAAGAGACGTAAAGAGCTGCAGCAAAACTTGTTGCTCTTATCTATCAGGGCAGATTTACAGAACAGAGTGTACAAAACAAAACAAACAAAAACAACAGGTGCAGATGGGAGGGCTCAGACTGACCTTGCTCGCACACACACAGAAAAAGTGTCATGTTTGGCTTAACATATTTGGCCCACATGCAGAAACACACTCGGCAGCAAGGATCAGATTCAACAGTTTATTTAATCTGGGACGCTCAGGGAAGACAAGGAAATGCTGGATCGGAACCCCCAACCACTGCAATAAAAGGGAAACCAGTTAGAGGGTGGAGGACCACAAGGAAAACGAGCCAAGGAATGCAGGCTTACCACAGGGTGTGGCAACCAGACTGGGGAAGGACGGAAGGACTCAGCCTGCTGTGGTGTTGGCGGCAGGTGATCCAGATACCAGTGGCGGAGATTAGGGGCAGCAGGAGGAACCAGACAGATTCTGGGAGGATGGAGAGCTGGAGAGGAGGACTAAGTTTGGGGGTTGTTTGGAAGGTACCTTCAAGAAGGCAGCGTGAGCAGCCAGAAGGCAACCTGGGAGACACAGAGGTAAGTGGTCAGCTCAGGGGTAACTTATCTTGAGAAGGAGACAGTGGCCTGCAGTCATACCACGACTGGTAACACTCTGGCGTCCTCCTACTGTCCGCAGGCCGTGCTTGTAGTGCAGTGAGGTGCTGCTAAACCAACCCGGCTGTGAGTGCCCCAACCACCAGTCAACTGGAAACACCTCCAGAGGAAGCACACAGAGGCAGAGCCAGCAACAGCATGGCTCTGCTGACTGATTCCTGACAAAAAGCTGATTAACAAGGGAG